CCAAAGCTGCTAAACGCCGCCCGACACCTGAATCGCTTTGATCTCCTTCCTTTTTCCTCCCACTGAGGGGAACTGTCAACCACCACCGAAACACAGTCGACGGTCAATCGGATCGGGCTTTCTATTGTCGTCGCATCATGGCTTTGCTTCAGTACCCCGCGCCCGTCGACTACGCGGCCCAATTGGATACCTTCAAAGACTTCCTTCAGCATTTCAAAACTTTTGAGTCGGCCTCCGAATCGGCCGCGACAGAGGCACTTGAAGATTTGCACATTGACGGCGACCGGACTAGCGATGAATATGATTTTATGGACGATGCCGAGGAAGGGGAGGGTGCGCAAAGACCCGGAGCTGGTCGCACACGCCGGGAACCGAAGTTGAAATATATGCAGATGCTGCAAGATGCTGCAAACCGGGAACGAATGAACGTCGTTATCGAATTGGACGACTTGAATACCGTATGAATTCGAGCCCATTATGCCGATTTCTGTGACAATTTCTGATGAGGATGCAGTTTGAGAAATCGCTTCCAGAGGAGACAGACTTAAAACTTGTTGAGTCTGTTCAAAAAAATACGCACCGCTATATCGAGATCTTTTCGCAGGCCATCGACGCCATCATGCCTAAAGAAACCAGGGAAGTCACGTATGTATATTCTGAAAGCTCTAGAGGGACCAGGAAATTGGTGGTTAACATGCGAACAGTTTCAAAGATGATGTACTTGATGTTATTATGTCCCAGCGTGAAAGGCGGAACGAGAACCTAGCCATGGCCATGGAAGCAGACATGGATACTGCAGCGGCTCCTTCAATGTTCCCGCCTGAGCTGACTCGCCGATACACTCTCAATTTCAAGCCACTTACTCCTTCTGGTTCCAGCACCGAACGTGATTCAAAGGCAATGGCAGTCCGAAATGTGCGCGGAGAGCATCTTGGTAGTCTAATCACAGTTCGGGGAATAACTACTCGTGTGTCCGATGTCAAGCCCGCTGTCCAGATCAACGCCTACACTTGTGACCGATGCGGTTGCGAAGTCTTCCAGCCCGTCACAACGAAACAGTTCCTTCCCATGACGGAATGTATGTCGGATGAGTGCACACAGAACAACTCCAAGGGCCAATTGTTCCTCTCCACCCGTGCGTCGAAGTTCGTTCCATTCCAAGAAGTGAAGATCCAAGAGATGGCCGACCAGGTTCCTGTTGGTCACATTCCGCGGACATTAACCATCCACTGCCACGGAAGCTTGACCCGCCAGCTAAACCCCGGTGACCTCGTCGATGTGGCAGGCATTTTCCTTCCCACTCCCTACACGGGCTTCAGAGCCATCCGCGCTGGTCTCCTGACTGATACCTACTTGGAGGCCCAGTACATCACCCAACATAAGGAATCTTACAACGAGTTGCAAATGGACAGTCGGACGCTCCGCAAGATTGAGAAATACCAGAACTCTGGAAACATGTATGAGTACCTGGCTCGATCCATTGCCCCTGAGATTTACGGCCACATCGATGTGAAGAAGGCCCTGCTATTGCTTCTAATTGGAGGTGTTACCAAAGAAATGGGCGACGGCATGCATATCCGCGGAGACATCAACATTTGTCTTATGGGTGACCCTGGTGTTGCTAAATCTCAGTTGATGAAGTACATCGCCAAGGTTGCTCCTCGAGGTGTATATACAACCGGTCGCGGAAGCAGCGGTGTCGGTCTCACAGCGGCAGTCATGAGAGACCCTGTGACTGACGAGATGGTTCTGGAAGGAGGTGCTCTGGTCCTGGCTGACAACGGCATCTGCTGTATTGATGAATTCGACAAGATGGAAGACGCAGACCGGACTGCCATCCACGAAGTCATGGAACAGCAAACCATCTCCATCTCCAAGGCAGGAATCACAACCACTCTGAACGCACGAACATCTATTCTCGCGGCCGCCAACCCTTTGTACGGCCGATATAACCCCCGTGTCTCTCCCGTCGAGAACATCAACCTTCCCGCCGCCCTCCTGTCTCGTTTCGATGTCATGTTCCTCATTCTCGATACCCCCTCGCGCGACGGAGACGAAGAATTGGCACATCACGTCACTTACGTCCACATGCACAACAAACACCCTGAAACTGAAGACCAGGGCGTCGTGTTCACTCCTCACGAGGTCCGTCAGTACATCGCCAAGGCACGAACCTACAGACCTGTCGTTCCTCAGTCCATCTCGGATTATATGGTTGGCGCTTATGTGCGGATGCGAAAGGATCAGAAGCGCGACGAAGCGTCCAAGAAGCAGTTCTCCCACGTTACCCCTCGTACACTGCTCGGTGTTGTTCGTCTGTCTCAATCCTTGGCGCGTCTTCGGTTCAGCGATGTCGTTGCTCCGGAAGACGTTGATGAGGCTCTTCGTCTCATTGAGGTCAGCAAGGCCTCGCTGTCCAATGACGGACAGATGGGTGTGGACCAGAGCCCTACCAGCAAGATTTACACTCTCATCCGTAGCATGTGGGAAAGCGGTGCTGCGGCGGTTGGAGACGATGAGAGTGGTGCTCTCAGCATGAGACGTATCCGTGAGCGAGTGTTGGCCAAGGGCTTCACGGAAGATCAACTCACGATGGCGATTGATGAATACGCCAACGTCGATGTAAGTCCTTCATTACTCTGTATCATATATGCACAGGCACTAACATTTCTCCCTTCTAGGTCTGGCAAGTCATCGCCAACGGCACTCGTCTTGTTTTCATTGGAGCTGAGGATGACGTTATGGAGGATATGTAATAGATGTCTTACGGTATATCATAACTTGTTGATGTTTCATGCTGCTGCTGCTGTTCTATACCTGAAAGATGTGTGCATTGGGATTTATGTGAGAATTCTTGGGAATTTGGTCGAGCCTGGGAATAGGTGTTATGGTGTAATTTTTCTTATCATGGGTCATGCAGGATATAATACTACGCCTTTACGGAAGTCAAGTGCAGTTACGCATGTAAGAGGTCGAGCTATGCCAAATTCAAGTAAACAACATGTTATGTATGGCTATAGATGTAACGCTTTACAAACAACTAGCGCAACCCAATAACCTACAAACTAGATTTTTCAGGCACATCGGGCTCACCAATCAGCTCTAAAAAGCTTGGGTAGACCTCATCTGTGAGATCACCAGCTTGCATGCTCCTTCCTTTAGACTTGAATGCCCGTCTCGAGCATTCTCGGGTCAAGCTACTGCCCGCCCAAGCAGCAAGCAGCAACGTCGTTGTTGGTGACATCCTCTTCCCTTCCGTCTCAAGCTCAGCCTTGACATCCTGTCTGCTCTCAGCTTGCTTGTCGTTTTCCTTCTCGCCAGAATCCCACAATTTGTTATGGTAAGCTGCTCTCCAGGCCAACAGCGTGCCTAGAGATCCAGTAAGCGTATCCCCCTGGCCTCCACTTCGCTTCAATCCTCCAGTAACGTCGGAGACGAGGGTGGTAACGCCATTCGAGATGATATCGTGCGGTCCCTTTTGGACAATTGTCACACCCCCAAGTGCATTCGATAACTTCTCACAGGCTTCCGATTCTTTGCTCGTCTTGTCACCGCCATCTCCCTTAACCTGTGCTTGGCTTTGGACTTCGATCTTCAGTGCCTTTGCGAGACGGCCAAATTCGTTGACGTTAGGTGTGAGAATGCACTCCTTGTACCCCTTTACGAGTTCCGGGTCTTCCGTGACCAAGAGGAGACCATCTGCATCTAGAACGAACGGGATCGATTGTGATTGTGCCTCCTTTATGACTTCTCTGACGACCTTGAGCGTTACACCGTCACGACCAAGTCCTGGACCGATAACTAACGCATGAAGTCGGGAGAGCATGGAGATTATGGGACCGGCGAGGGATGGCGCATCAATCGAGTTGGGATCTGAGACAGACTCGCTACTTGGAAGCAGTGGGTGTACCATCAGGCTTGGAGAGTAGGATTTGATAACCTAAGCAGATTATCTCGTGAGCCAGGCTTGTACTAGCCAATTGGAAAGCAAGAAGACATACAGATGCGGCGGATCTTTCACAGATTACATGGCTCTGTGGCAGTTAGCTTCGAGGGAACTGTAAACTGTAATTGTATCGAACGAGATATCCTCACCATATCACAACCTGCGTACAATGTTAACCAGCATAACGACTAGTAGATATTTACATAACATACCTAGCTTCGCAGATGCCATCGATGAAAAGTACGGAGCTCCTGTGTAGCTTCACCCAGTCTGTTAGAATGCGATTCATCTGATAATTTGTCGAATGAGAAAACCCGACGTACTCAAGGCTGCCTCCGATGACAGCAACACGTCCTTGTTGCCCTACATCCCACTGTCAATTACCATTCCTAATCATGACGGGCCCGGGGGGCAAACCTTTGTGGAATCTCTCGAGCAGAGGTGGTACGATCCGGCGCACCTTGTTGAAGAGCGCCTTTGATGAGGTTGACACATGTACCGGTTCCATGGTGGTGGTTCTATATATTAAGGTAGAATTCTTTACTAGAATGAGTCTATGAATCCAATATAGCGCTGATTGAAGGAAGAATAATTAGAAAAGAACTGGAGAGAGAGCAAGACCGGAAATGTGAGCGTTACAAGCTGTGATGTCACCGCCTTCAAGTGGGGCCTGAAGGATGTGGCAACAATTATAGTAGTTAACTAAATATGTATGTAGTTAACTAGTGGTAAGCTAATATTACAAGAAAATTATATGGGATTGTAGTATGCTGATTGTACTAAGCTAAGGATATAAACAGGACGCCCGCTCATAATAATAAAGCTAGTGTGTAACTGAACGAGGCCACCATCTATTGACACCTAAAGAAAAACTCCAACTTAAGAAAGCGAAATCAAAGAACGAGTAGAATGTAAATGACTTATAGAATGCACCCCCGAAAGTACCCCTCGCTGATGCTCCGTAAACAAAGAAGAAAAATAAACCAAAGAAAACAAAAAAGACTTGCCAGAAGGGAGTATCGAGTCGTGATAAAAAAAAATTAATGAATAATGTTCATCTGGCCCTTGACGCCAGCGAAATAAGCTTCTTCTTCCGCTCCAGTTTCTCTTGTTTGGCTGCGAGTTCGGCCTGCCATTCTTCTTCATCCTCTCGTCTGGCGGCCTTAAGAGCCGCTTGCTCTTCCGACTCCACATTGTCGAAACCAGCTTCCATATCAGATGATGCGTCCGAGTAGTAGTCGTCATAGTCGTCCGCATATTCACCTTCGTCCTCCTCATCCGTACCAAGATAATCGTCCATCCGTGATCGTTTGCTGGCTTTAGATCGTTGTCTTTCAGCGGGATCACGCTTGGGTGGTAAACCGGCTGTTCCTCGGTATTCAGTTGTCGCGGGCGTCTGCGTCGGTCTGGCAGTGCCTTTGTAGGTGGGCTCATCAGGATCTCGTTTTCTCGCCGGTTTTCCATCGCCAAGTTTGGCACCCGCTGAAGTTCCAGCGGCGGCACCGCCTTTTTTTGCCAGTCGTGGATCTTTCTCCTTCGCCTGTGCTTCCATCGCTCGTTTCTTGCGTTCCATTTTGCTGAGCCTTTCTTTAGGCGCCGTCTTGTTTTGGTGTTTGAACATTCCTACTTGCGCCGGCGCAGTCTGCTGAAGAGCCTTTGCTTTCATCATGAGATCGGCGAATGATCCTGGGGGAGGTTTGGATGAAGCAGGCGCAGTCTTCGGGGTTGAAGGCGTATTGTTGCTTGACGCAGATCTGGCTGCATTTGAAGCTTGATTCGGGGGAGGTTTTGATGCTGTAGATGTGGTAGGCCTTGAGGGTGCAGGCTTCGTGGATGTAGGCTTCGTGGGCACTGATTTACCAGGTGCTCGATTATCCGGTTTCGATGGACGCTGCAGCTGCTCTTCAGCTTTCCGCTTCATCCCTGCTGTAGCGATCTTTTTCTCGGAAGAAGTATCACGGGATGGTGTGCTGGGTTTGCGAACTTCAGACTTGGCTGTAGAGGATGAGACGGGAGGTTCCGGACGACGAGATGTTGCCGGTGGGATCGCAGATGGTTTGCCCGTCTCGATGGACGTAAGCACAGAATCGAGGAACTAAGAAAACGAGTTAGAAAAACCTGAAACACTCAAACGACCAATAGGAGACATGTACTTACGCTCATATTGCCACTCCAAGTTCAAAACGAAAAACAGAAGTTGATGTTTCCGTTAAAGAAACAGAGCAAGTCAGAAGAGAAATTCACCGTCGGTGGTTAAAATGACGAGGTAACTTCATCACGATGCTAGTACTATCGAACCCCGAGTTCGATGCACGAAATGAGATAGCCGGCACGTTCCAGCAGAGCAGAAAACGGCGGAATCGAAGAAATCGACTCCAGTAGTGTTAACAGGGTGAGACAGGGCGATAGGGACGAAAGAAAGGTGGGAGAAAAGAGAGTCAAGCCTGAAGCGCCATCCTGTCCTTCTGGAAGTCTCGAATGTCACGTGCCCATAAGCGGCTGATTTGCAAATTCGACATGCGCCACAGCGTCTCGCTTAGAAGCCCGCCGAAATGTACTAGCCACACCTGGCAGCCGCACCGCACTTTTTCTCGCCGATAATTCCATCCTGAACTTTTTCTTTCCACATCGCTCAACCACCACCCAGCGAACTCGACGTTTCAGTCTCCGCCCAACTTGCGGTTAAATCGATTGATTCTCGTGTTCAGAAAACCAACAGGTATGTATTTTCTGCGATTCCAATCCCACAGCAAACGCTTTGACGGCGACCAATTCTGACGAGAATTCTTTGGCTACAGAACTCTATTCAAAATGAAGCACCTCGCAGCTTACCTCCTCATCGCCCTTGCCGGCAACGCGACCCCCTCTGCCGACGATGTTAAGGGTGTCCTCTCCTCCGTCGGTGTCGACGCCGACGAGGAGCGTCTCCAGAAGCTCATCTCTGAGCTCGAGGGCAAGGACATCAACGAGGTTGGTTTTGCGAAAAGAATTCTATGGAAGAAACAGCATACTGACGGATTTTTTTTTTTTTTCTCAAACAGCTGATCGCTCAGGGTACTGAGAAGCTTGCTTCCGTTCCCTCTGGCGGTGCCGGCGCTGCCGCTGCCCCCGCCGCCGGTGGTGCTGGTGAGGCCGCTCCTGCTGAGAAGAAGGAGGAGGAGCCCGCTGAGGAGTCCGATGACGACATGGGCTTGGGTCTCTTCGACTAAGCGCATTCGCCCGGAGAGTAAAAAAAACTTGCTACGGATTGTGGAGGAGCAGAATCGGACAGTTATTTTCAGCCTGGGGAGTGATCTCGCCCACTGGTTTTGTCAAGCCTGGATGGTTCGGGATACTGTTACGAGTTACGCATATGTGAGCTGGAAACAGCCTTTAGTCAATACAGATCTGACCTCCACAAGTTGTTCACTGAGTAGTACGTAGACACCGATTTGTTTTCCTCTTTGAGGTTTAACCGGGGCGTATTCGTCTTTTTTCTTCCGCAAATATTGGTAGCATATTACCCCTGTATTCAAGTTGAATCAGTAATCAATAAATTTACTGCTTCAGTAAACCTACGCCCTCTGACTGGCAAAATCAGAGTGATAAGATACCAGGGTTCGAAGTGGGTAGCCCTAGATTCAATTACACCAGAAACGGAATAGGTCTAGGGCTTGACCCCGGTGGGTCGCTTAGGCGAGCCCTCCAGCCCACCTCCAAACTCGAAGTGCAGAAGCCCACGCTTAGCCCGACGACCGTCATTTCAGCGACAGACACGACCCGACAACCCATATTCCCTTCGCTTTTCGAGTGTACGATCGAAAAGCGACCTAGAGGAAAAAACCGCAAAAATGGCTGACACCGAATACGTGAGTTTTCGTCTGCGATGAGTGATATATTAATGCAAGACTGATTGTTGATCCCTTTACAGAACGCCGAGGAAGCTGCCGGTACGTTACCACTGAAAACCTTTCCCTACCCTTGACTACGAACGATGCGTGATAGAAAGATATTCGGTGGAAGTTGGAATAGAAAAAAATAATATGTGGCGATGAGATACGATGATGAAAGAAAGAATCGATATCGAAGGGACAACACAACAGTGAAAGAACGAAGTCGCTGACTGGACTTGTCGCCGAACAGAGCTTAAGAAGAGAAGACAATTCCGGAAGTTTACCTACCGTGGTATTGACCTCGACCAGTACGTTCGCATCTTCTCCTCTCATGCTCTAAACCATCCGACATCCGACTCCGAAAGAACGACACCGTCCAACAACTACCATCACGATCGGATTGTCACCTTTGGAGTCGGATGTTGGAACGGAGGGCAGCATATCACAGTTGGAAACAGTATTATCTGACATAGACAACTCAGGCTCCTCGACCTTTCTTCGGAACAGCTCCGTGATGTCGTCCACGCCCGTGCCCGCAGAAGGTTCAACCGCGGCTTGAAGCGCAAGCCCATGGGTCTCATCAAGAAGCTCCGCAAGGCGAAGCAGGAGGCCCGCCCCAACGAGAAGCCCGACCTCGTCAAGACCCACCTCCGTGACATGATCATTGTCCCCGAAATGATCGGCTCCGTCATCGGTATCTACTCCGGTAAGGAGTTCAACCAGATCGAAGTTAAGCCCGAAATGGTTGGCCACTACCTTGCCGAGTTCTCCATCTCATAGTACGTTCTTTGAAATCTGAATCTGGTATGGAAAAAGGTGTTTGCAGATGACTAACAACCACACAGCAAGCCCGTCAAGCACGGTCGTCCCGGTATTGGTGCCACCCACTCTTCCCGTTTCATTCCCCTCAAGTAAACAAATCGCTTTTGGAGTGTCGCGTGGGAGATTCGTTCGGCGTACGGATGTTGGGAAAGGAAAAAACCAAAATGGGTGGAATCCATTTACATATACCTGGGTTCTTCTACTTGTATGTCAAGTGCGGGTCAGCTGTTTCCATCTCAATATAAAAGAAGATTCTTGTCGGCCATGAAGGATCTTTGACAACTCTGATGACGAAAGACGAGCCCTTTTTGGTCGCCCTGACTTGTGTGTTTCTGCTTATGGGTCAGGGTGTCAAAAAGTTCACCTTTGCCTGTTTTTTTAAGGTTAGGTAGGGATGGGTGTTTTAATTTTACGAATGAAGTTCATCTCATGGCGCTTTGTAATGTTTGGTCTATCAGGATGACTTGTAGATGTTGTAGGACACCATCTCCACGTCCTCCACCAGAAACTATGATGTACTGCTATTCGTCCGTGTCCGATGTCTAGCGTACATCATCGTTTTAGGGCTCCCTTGATATCTACCACGATTTCTTATTGAGAACACGAATCATAACACAATAATGAGTGACCGTATCGTACTGTAAAACTTTTAGAGGACTCTTCCCTGTCGAGTCTTCCCTGTTCTATTCCCAACGTATCCAGTACGAGCAGCATCTCCAGGAGTACATAAAATATGAACACAACCAAAACTGAATCCATGTTTTTCATATCTTTCCTCCAATTTCATTTATACGGGTCAGATTGACCTCTTGGACGCACAGTCCCAATTTCCATGGAGCACACACTTTCCGGGGCCGAATGAATAGGCTCAAATCGACCTCGCGTAGCTCGATCCAACAATTCCTCAAGAGGAGTGCAGGACCGTAAACGTCTGGTGCGCTCGTCTTCCAAATCACGGGGTGAAACCTCGACTATTTCGCGATTCAAAGACCGTCTGTCCGCCGAAGCCTGCCTGTTCTGCGACCCCATCGTGTAATCTTCCTCTATGCTCTGGATGACGCCCATGCCGCTCTCATAATTCGCCAACGGAGGTCGTCTTCTGCGTCTGCCTCTCGATACACTCGTGTCGGCACTCCTTAGTGGGGTGGGTGGGCCTGTGGGGGTAATCGGAGGGACGTTCTCTTTCCAGCTTTCATTTATACCGGTTACCGTCAGGTGTGGATCAAAGCAGTGTATCTTGCCGGATCGTTGGGTTTTCACCAAGTTCCTCATCCAAAGGCTGCTTCTTTCACTGCCTGGGTCGCTATTATTTCGTCGCCCGAGACATGCTCGCTCGGCTAGTATCGCACTTCCTTCACGCGGAGAGCAAAGTCTGCGATCTACTTGCACATCTGGTTGTCCAGGTGGATGCAACCAATCCCAGGAGTTAACCCGGCTCTTTATATCCAAGAGGCTCCGCAATTCCTCCGCGATGTCGGTACAAGGGACCAAGTTGAGAGCGAGCTCGTCGCAATCTTTCATCCACAGGCGATTGTCAGGTAACAGGTGGCTCGCCTCCACCATTTCCTCCCATTTGGAGCTGACATCATGCGTTGCGAGGACGAGAATGAGAAGAATAAGCGGGTCCGTCTTGCTCAGATATTGGGAAACAAAGGTGGTCGGAAGAGTCGATCCCCGTGGAGGATAAGGAAGTGGTGCAAAAATTGGCTGCGGTCGTGGAAACGGCCAGTGTGGATGATAAAGAAATGATGTGAATGGTAATGGATATGCCATCTTGACAGCTTCGCGTCGTGATCAATACAGACGTCGACTCGCGGGGACTCCGGGATTGGCAGTGTAGAAAAAAAATATAAGAGTGTCGAGTCAGATGTACTGCTTAAGCTGTGGCCTTATTGTCCAAGGCTGTCCGCGATATAAAGAACGGTACTATCCAGAAGAGCGAAGCTCGTAATATCATAGTATATAACGATGTTGAAGTAAATAAAAGGTGCTCTTCGCGTGTGCGGCTGTTGGAGATGCGCAGTGCCGAGTAGGTTTGTTTGGGCGTTTCAAAGATCTTGTGAGGTCTCTTGATGTCCCAAAGGGGAAAGTACGCAGAACTGACGACGAATTAGGAAGCCGCGACTTATCTCCATGGGCAGAAGTCAGAACCACCAAATTTCCCTCATTTTCGCTATCACTTTCTCTCCAGCGTAGCAGAAACAACGCCCTCCATTTTCTTCCACTCCCTTTCAATCTCATCCGCCATATTAGAAGGATCCAGTCCATTCGAAACAAACTCCTTGTGCACCTCATAGAACGCCAGCTGCACCATTCTTTTGAAACTAGGCACAGTACAGCTCTCTGACTCTTTATTTATTAGCTTATTCAATAAAGACCAGATAATAAGACTGAATTTTAACTCGAAGCGTTCAAGCGTAAAACCGTCGCCTGGATTTGTCTCTATCCCCTGAGACAGGTGAATAGCAAGCCTCACCAGTGCCCATGCATGTACATGGCGGATGGGGTGAGAGTCGTAAGGGTAGACGATTGGATCAACGCGGATATAGCGAACTGCGGCCTGGACGAATGCTTTTTTGAACTGTCCGTTGGTGAGTAAGGATGCGATCAGCTCGTCCCGTAGGGAGATATAGGGCTGTCTGGTGATGGGCCATGCAGAGGTTTGGTCCAAGACCTGCATGGCTGATTCCAGTTTGCGGACGGCTCCCGTTGATTCACAGTTGGGGGCAGAAATAGATTCCATGAAGGCTTGTGCTTTTGTCTCTGCCACTGCCAATGCAGTAATGTCGTGTGTTGCTGTCAAGAAGCTGTCTTCCGGTGTATCTGTTGTGCCTTCGAAGCACTTCGAGCACTGACAGTCGAAGTAGTATCGCTCTGACAGCTTCTTGCGACGAATGTCGTGAGGATCACTGGCGTCAATGTACGAAATAAAGATCTGCTCGTTCTTCTTGATCGGTCGAACAGCTTTGACAAAGAGTTCATCCCCGTCGAATCCAACGATCGAGTTATAATCACAACTGTGGTTAATAAGAGCCGCATATGGATGCAAGTACAGCCCAATCCGATCATACAAAGGATTCGTAAGATTGAACGCATTAAGATCCAGCTGACCAAATCAACATCTACAACATACGCCACGATAAACTGAAAAGAAACATACCTTTGCACCAAAAGCCGAAATAACCTCTTCTTTCATATCAATTCCAGAATACATCTTCACAGCCTTCGCAGACAGCGAGATCCGCTCCCACTGCGCCATATTTCGCTCGCGAATCTCCCGGATATGCGTCTCCAGCTGGATAAAGAGATCAACCTCTTGATTGCTATATTTCTTCTTTATACTGCGCAGTAACACCCGGAGTATTGCCCTGGCATTATTAGGGAGAACCCGAGGAGCGAGGCCTTTGAAGATCCGGCATTCGTGAGAATGCGCGAACTTCCAGTCTTTGGCTTGACATGCCTAGGGAGAGTCAGCTTCACAAATTCACAGACAATGGGAAAAGATAAAACCTACCCTATCACAATACTTTACCACCTGACACCCGGTACACGCCCTCATATGTAGATCCGCACCCACATTTAGCTGCCTCTTCCCAAAGCACCCGGAGCACGTATCATTCAACCGCGGTGTGTCCAGGACAGCCACAAAAGGGGCGCTAATTTTCAAGACGTCTTCCCCGGTGTGAATGTCTTCTGATGCAAACAAGCCATTCCCCAGGCCATTGGGTGCAGAGCCGGGTGTTGTTTTTGTATGCACAGAGGAGAGGGGGGCTTCAGCAGACATGCTGGAGCTCTGTTGTCTTGGGTACCTCAAGGGTTATGGTTTTTGTATGTTTCTCTTGATTCAACCTGGCTTATTGGCTAGTACACGGCTGTTGTTCTGCGTGATGGATTTGCTGCCAGATGAAGCTATTTGAAGTAAATTATTATTGGCCAATGGAGATTAGTCATCTACATGATTTTTACAACTAGAATGAACCTTTGGGTGCCGACGACGCCAAAAACGGCAGCTCATGAGGCCGTTTCTGGCGCCGTTGGCACCAGGAACTTCGCCTAAACGGGTAAGGCGCTCATGCCGCTTTAGACTGGCGACGGTGCGGCATCGGACACGTATCGGTATTACTGTTTTTTTACCCTCAGCCAGCGGGCTCTGCCCCACCTAGGATCCCTGCCTTGCTAAGCCCACATCCTCAGCACGACCCGCTGAGGATGGTAACTGGAGGGTGGAGTCCAAGTCATGAGGGAGGCGAGGGCCCCTGCCCTTGACATTACTGAGAGAGGTTCTTTTCCCTTACAGCGCAGAGAACGAGGCAAAGGAAAAAAGATAAATAGTGCCATGAACCGCTGCTTTCCTTCCGCTACCATGACCGCATCCTATCCATCCCCTGTATCCCTTTAACAGCTCTCTTTACATGATGGCATACTTGGGACTCCCTCGGAGAAAGTATGCACGACAGGAGGACAACGGAGCACGAAAATCCTACCTCTACTATGCTGAACGTCGAAAACAACACCTCGAAAATGGACCAACATTGCCGCAATATGCATCCAACACGAACATATCAGCAGCTTCAGTGAGAGGGAAGTGGAATCGGTCAGTGTTTCCCCCATGATAGACCTGCTTTTCTGTTTAAGGCCGCTGATTCTCACCATTGTCAGGTTCTGCTCCCGAGCTGGCCTGGATCCAGATATTCTGCTTGAGAACCTGACCGCGGCAGATGTTAAGTCCTGGTTTGATTGGATTGAGAAGAACTTCGAGGGCTCTATTAAAGCTCACAGCGCACTTGCCAACTACTGGAGAACCTTGAAGAGACTTTACTTCATGCAAAACCGCCATGAAATGGAGACCAGAATGCAGGGAGATTGCCTCAACGTGAGTGATTCATTCTTGGATGAGGCTGCTTCTACTCTTTGCTAATGTAGGAAGCAGTACATGAATGTTGTGAGCAAGTGGATGGGCTTGTGTAGGCATCCACTTCCCAAGCCAACGGCAGCCTCGGATGATCTCTTGCATTTTCTCATCACGCACATGGTCCACTGCGATTCCGTGTTCGCCGATGAGAAGCAGCGACTCTGTACTTGCAGGACTCAATTTGTCAAGTGTTTCCGCTTGTCGGGCAGTGTCATTATTTGATACAAGACATCCTGTTGACTTCCAAGCAGATGGTCGTCCGCTCCAGCACTCTGAAGTGGAGCGATGCAATGATAGTATAAAGTCTCAGAATTTACCTGATAAGCCCGGGAACCAAGAAGCCGCAGGTGATTCCGGTTACGAGACAGGTATAGAAAGTTATCTAAGCGAACCGGAAGAAGCTGACCTGGATGATCCTTCATACAATGAATTTGGTTCAGAGACAGAGAGCAACACTGACTGCGATTCAGACACTTCCAGCGTCACAAATGATGGGTATCTTGAGGGTGATGAGGAGACTTGCACCATACTTTGGAGGCACATTGAATTCTATATTGTCCGCAATCCACTACCTGACAGTCGCAACATACTAGCCGCCATTGTGACTCTTCTCCACACGAAAGGGGAGGACCGGAAGCCAAGGATGTAAGTCAAGTCTTTCTGAAAAGTTGCTTGTCGGCTGTTTACTCACGAACGCAGCAAGAGATTTGTGGTCGAACATGAAGATAATCCAATATTTGACTTACTGTCCCAACTGTTGTCATTGGCAATTGACGACGGCATCTTCGTTGCGACGATCAAAGACAAGGCAGACATCTACACCATGCCGATTCCATCACACCGCAGAGGCATTCAAATGAAAATCAAGAAAGAGAAGTTGGATATTCCGATATTCCGTGAACCTGAACACACTGCAGAAGGTTACCGAACATCTGACACCCAGCCACTGAAGTCGCGGACATGGAGTCGCATTATCAAATGAATTGGGATCCAGGCCGGCCAGGCACAGAACCTGACACAAAAGGTACTCCGCCGTGGCGCAATCAATGCGATCAACAGTAAGATTCCCATCATATAGACCTCGGACTCTGACTCATCACACTGCGAATAGACAGAGCACCGTCATCGGTTCGTGATCAGGTTGCGGACCACGAGTCAAATGCTGTCAAATATTACCTTAATGAAGTTGTGGACTTTGATACAGCAGCAGCGTTTCATAAAAGACCGTCAAATGAGATCGTGCAGAGAGAGCTGCGGTCAGCAACACTTCTGGCAGACAGTACTGCCCCTATCAGCCTGACAGACGTGCAGTCCCAGAAGATTTCCAATGATCCTGAAGTTCGCCGCCTCAGGAAGGCTTGTCGAGATTTGACGCCAAAAATTCATGGAATGGGATATAGAGCCATTAAGGACGCGGCCAGGACAGAAATAGGAGAACAGAAGAGGCGAGCAAATGCAGAACTGAGCAGCATGCTCACCGGCTTGCGAGACAAGGCCAAAGAAAAGAACTGGAAGAGGCATTTTAGGAATACCGACACTGCGATTTTCAACCAACAGTATGACGAGAGTGCTGGCCCGGAGAGAAGCAAGTGTCGGAGTCAATTGCCTTGTCATTACCAGATTCCCGAACAGGCAGAGCTAGTCCGCCTCCTGTGCTACTCTGCAATCGCCAAAACGACAGAAGAAGCCCACCATCGCCGACTAGCGTATATTCGCCTTATGGTCCGCTGGCAGGGTCGAAAGGAAAGCCCACGTCAAGGGAAGCAGGGAGTGATCACAATGCAACATCTGCCAGCTCCGAAGCCACCCAGAACTGAAATTATTACTGAGAGATATGACCCTTTGAGATACGACTGTTTGCAATGCCTGTTTTGCCTCTCAGACACACGTCTACTTCTGCCTGAGCGGGAAAAGCGGAAGAGCAAGATCAATAAGCTATGGGATCACGTAGAGAACATTCACCAGCAGGAACTTGCGGTGTTTGACACCGGCAATCGCCGTTGTGGGATATGTGGCATACAGAACATTGATTTTATACCTTCCAATGTGTCGTGTTTCAAAAATCATACCCAGACAGTCCATGGGATCAGGCTACGTCCGTGAAGTGTTTCTCTTCCGGCTTCTACCCAATTCAGGACCAATTAACTGGTCAAGAAGTTCCGCTGGTCAGGAACCACGCATTTCCCCATCCTCGTTGGCGATGATGGACATTTATCTGGGTTACTGGACTGGGAATCGACAGGCTGGTATCCAGTATGCTGGGAATTTACGACAGAAATGCGGTTCGGTAGCTCCTTGGATTGTGATTGTGGAGATTGTAAAACGAGGACCTGTGAATTCCCTCTTCCGGTTAGTTTTGCTGTTTCTGGTATAGCCTCCCGATACGCTGTACTGTAAACGCCGCCCGCCTGGCTTTCCAATATAAAAGAGCCCTCCCTCACTGTTCTGACCTCGTCCCCTCCCAAATCTTTTTTTCTTCCCAAACTCCCTCACATATTCTGCACTCATCCATATTCCTGGCCATTTGAACTCCGCCACCCCCTCATTTTTTTTTTTCTTTCGGAAATTGCGCCCTCTCACCTCCACTTCCAGTTTCCTTTCCTCGTTTACGTTGACCGGCGTTTCGAGCTGATTCTGTCTCCCTCTATTCTTTATACAGTGAATTGATTCATATTCTCTGCTCCCCTATCTTCTACTAAAAAATGAATTTACATGAGGTCTTGCTTTTTCGGCCGCTCTTCATTAATGGTATCCGCCCTTTCGACTCTCTTATCAAAGGAAAGATATTGACTCCAGGCTTGACAGACTCCCAAGGCTGATTACAGCTTACAATTGACCCCATTCGGCGCCCGTCCTGTGTCGCACTTTCGCGCTAACCACGCCGATCCCATGTGCCGCGTATGCGGTTGGAACGCTCAGATGACAACGATTTAGCATCCGGGAGAAACAAATCCAATGGCATAAATGCCTCACCTGTGGTTTTGTTGGTTATTTTCGCCACAAACACTGGTCACATTCCCGCGGAGGCAGTTCTGTAAAGTCTGGAACCAAACCTCACTGCCAAGTGATGAATGATTGGAGCTCTGTTGTCAACTTTCTGGTCTGCTGCGTCCCATGACACGCTACTGTGGAAAGGACAATGCTACAAGAACAATCATTTGCCGATGCAGAATTTCTTGGCAAATGATACTATGCTCTTGTGCTCTCATGACCATAACGCTGATTTCACACCTCGCTTTGAGCAATACGGGCAAGAGCAATACGGGCAACATTTGGTTAATATTGCCATTGACTGGGCATAGTGACTGTAGGACGACCGTGCTGTAGTGGATTTTGGCGTCAAAGTATAGTTTATCGTCTCACATCCATTCATGCTGTCCTTGTAATGTCGGAAGCATATCAGGCTTATCCTTGTCTTTACAAAAGCAGCATCACCGCCTTGGGGCAGATTGAAATTTCGAAATCAGTGTAGTCCTGTTGGAAATTGTCACATTCGTACTTTCAGCAAGATGAATCTCAGGGTGTAGCGCGTTCCGCATGACATAGTTACGAGGTGTCTTGAGCAGCATCGATGGGTTAGCCACGCCAATCATAGGAAATACTTGGTGTCTAAGGCAGAAAGCGTCCGCGCTAGCTGGATTAGTAATCGAACATAAACAGGTGCTCGGATGTCACATCGCAACTCTTGTCATGCGTTGTGTCATGCATGGTGTCCTAACAGCGGGTCATCCACTAGTTTTTTAAAGACAGATTTACCGCTAGTTATGCAGGACGATATTGCTGAATTACGACGTCAACTGGAGGAAGAGAGACGGGCAAGGGAAGAGGCGGAACAGCGCCAGGAAGAGGCGGAACAGCGCCAAGAAGAGGCGGAACAGCGCCAGGAAGAGGCGGAACAGCGCCAGGAAGAGGAGAGACGGGCCAGAGAAGAGGAGAGACGGGCCAGAGAAGAGGCAGAACAACGACTGCAGCCCAACTCTCTATTTCGCCTTCTCGATCGCTGCCACGAATCTCTGTCACAGACGATCCGAGTCGAGACGAACGCGACCCTGACGACCCAAGGCAACGTGACTGACCCCGTCAATCGACTTTTTCCCAAGCGGATTGTTCCATGGCTTGATTTCCCTCAGATCCAGGAGCAAATCTGGAAGAAACTCGAGCGTGCAGTCGGCTTTACCTCACGTCCGCTCTTTCCTTCCGATAACCAGCTAGACTATGTCGCAACAAATGTCCAAGACCGACCGATTTACTCAGAAGCGACTTTACGAAATTTCGAGCGAGACACTGTGGATAACTTTGTTGAAAAGATTGTCGAGGCATTACGAGGCGATGAAACTTTGCAACGGGAGTTTGGTATTGAGGGCCGAGTGGCCTTTTATGACCGCACAAACTCAACCTCACTGGATGACAATTTGGAGATGCATCTTGACGACGCACCCCGTCAACCAACAAACACCAGCCGCGGGAGAGGTAGAAGAAAAGGGAAGGGGAAACAAATGGGTCAAAGTCAGACGAGGGCTCGCTCACGAAGGCGGCGCAATCGCCG